AGAGAGGAGAGAGGAGAGAGGAGACATCTACCCTGCTCATGAACCAAGTAAAAACACCTTACAAAATTGACAGGTCATAAGTGAGCTTACACAACAAAGTTAAAAAATACCCTTAGCCTAGGACTACCATGGCCACTGTAGAGCCCTTTTGCGAGTAATTTTTATTGCATACTTTACACAGGTCTGAGAAAAGGAAGGCCCAGTCTAAACACATCATATGCTCACAGGTAGGGCTCTGGGGAGCTGACTGGATCATGGGGGTGTGATACTCACCAGTGAATTAATCCACTAGTGCGTCTGTAGCTAAATGTGATGCTGGGATGTGAAGCCTGATCAGAGGAGGTGGGCCACTGGGGTTGACCTGGAAGGGCCTACCCTTCTCCCCCTCCCCTGATTTCTTTCTGCTTCCTGCTGCCCTGCTACGAGCTGTTTCTCCTGAGATGCCCCTTTATCATGCCGTCTCATCGTGGAGCTACTAACTATGGAGTGAAACTCTACAAACTGTGAGTCAAAATAAATCTTTCCTCCTTTTTGGGTGTCAGGTTTGGGTCCCAGTGTTGAAAAGATAACTAAAAAATAGATTATGATCTAGTTGAACAGATGATATATATGTATAAAAATAAAAAAGGAATTTTCAAAAATACATAGAAAATATAAAGCAGGGCTGACAAGACAGCTCAGCAGACTAAGTGCCTGCTTATGCAAGCACAGGGACTGGGGTTCAATCCCTGGCACCACATGCTGCACTGCCCCTGCCCCTAGGTGTGCCAAGTCAGCCACCGAGACTGAGTGTGGTGGCACAAACCTATAATTCCAGTGCTGGGGAGGCTGAAAACAGGAGGATCACTATGAGTCTGAGCTGCATAAGTAAGATCCTATACCAAATACATTAAAAATAAATAAATAAATAAACATAAAAAAAGAAAATATAAAGCAAATGTTAAGAGTCTGTGCAGAGCAGATAGATGTTCTAGGTGTGAGCCAAGCACTGCATGAACAAAACACTTGAAGAAATTCAAGAAGATTCTGTGAAATATGGAACAAGGCGAACCTATCTAAAGACCATCTTACTCTAAAAGCCCAATTCAAAGAATTCAAATTGAAGATATTTTCTTCAGATTTAAGGGAAGAATCCACCTTTATTACTACCATGGTCTTCAAGAGCTCAAGAAACAAACCAACAGGAACATCCCTGAACTCTGTTATCCAAAAGGAATGGAGTCAGCATACAAAAGAGAAACCTGCATGCCCACTTTCCTGTGGTTCCATTCACGAGAGCCAGATGCGGAACCCGCCTAGTGCCCACTGACGGATGGATGAAGAGAGAAAATATGGAGTATGTATACACAGTGGAATGCTTTCCAGCCCGAGAGGAAATGGGATCTAGTCATTTGTGGCAAAACATATAGAACTAGAAGACATCATGGTAAATGAAACCATATAACAGAAAGACAAAAATCACACATTCTCCCTTATATGTGGAACCCCAAAATTAACAAGTTCACCTGCAAGCAGAACAGGAACTACTAGGGCCTGGAAAGAGTAACTGCATATGATCAATGCATGTGGTACAGCTATCCGCAGATATCACACTGCATTTCATTATTATGTGTTATGTGTAAATAAATAAAATGAAAAAATTCTACCTAATCCTAAGTCTAACTAAATTGGATGACTGGATGGACTAGAAATGAAATGACAGAAAAAATCCAGGTGTAGTCAAAGATCACAACAACAGATCTTCCTATTCCTTGCTAGTAAGGGTTTCTAGGAGTTGGCAACTTTTTCTGTAAGGTATAACTTTAATGTAGAGCTCTGCCATTAAAATAGGTATGGAACCATCAATAATCCACAACAAATGGGTGTGGCTATAGTTCAATGAAAGATTATTTGTAAGAACAGGAGAAGGGCTAAGTAGAGTTTCCAGGCCACAGTTTGCTGCCCTCTATAGCAGATGATCAAATTTTCCAAGCTCAAACTTTTCTTACTTCTGCTAATTGCATATAGAATCCAATAAGATGTGCAAAGAAAAATCTAGTTTTCTCTTTTTTACAAATTACACAGGTTGCCAGATAGAAATTAAAATTAATTATGTAGGTATGTTGCTCATTAGTTTCAAGACCTTATTTTCCCTTTGAATTTATGGACCTTGTGAGACTAATTTACTGGAAATTACATCAATAGTTCTGTAAAGGCTTTGATATAAGCAGGACAAATTGGAAGAGCTGGCAGCCAAGTCATCTTTCTGTCTTTTATGGAAGAATATATTGAGGATGAGAGAAGCTGCCAATAAAAAATTCTGATTCAGTGAGACAGATTATGATGACATTGATGGGCTTTTGATTTCAATAAGCAAAAAGGCTCAGGATTTTGCTAGCTACAAGAAAAAACAGCAATGTCTCCACTGCAGACCTTGAGACAAAACTTGGTTATAAAATAAGGTATAAAAAAAAAATACAGAACAGTAGCTGAGAGGCAGTCTGTTGTCCCACACAGCATTACTTTTCATATTTAAAGTGGGATGCCTTAACTAGCTTGATTTACCCTTATGCAGTGTATACCTGAACCAGAATATCATGTTGTATATTATAAATACATATCCTTTTTGTCAGTTAATGTTTTCTTTTTCTGAACCAGGGACATTGCCTCAAATACTATTTCTAAAACTTCCAAGAGATGATATGGGCTTTCTGTAAGAGATGCGGCAGCACCGACCTATAAAGCAATACAGTAAGTCCAGGGATAAGAATCTTTTCTGGGTGCCCAGGGAAAGCAGATCCATTACAAGAAGGAGGATGGATACCTGGACAAACCAAGTCTCTTTTCTAGAAAAAGGATGAAACTGCACAGAAGATGAGGCTGAGAGAGGATTGTGAGCTCAGCAGCAGGTATAAGAGAGTGCTGCCAGTTGAGAGGGGCAAGTGTCTGAAAGTAGGAGATGAGTCAAGAAGAAAGGGCCAGGGCTGGAGAGATGGCTCAGTGGTCTAAAGCACCTACTTAGAACAAGCTTAGCAAAGCATCAGGGACCGCGGTTCAATCCCCCAGCACCACATGCCAGCCAGCCCCGCCCCCTGGTGGGCTGAGCTGGCCACACACACCACACACACACACACACACTCTCTCTCTCTCTCAAATAAATAAATAAATTTAAAAAAAAAAAAAAAAAAGAAGAAGAAAGGGCCATGGGATCCAGTGCTAAGCTTCACCTTCTGCTTTACTATGAAGACAATAAAATCTTGAGGTTATGTTCACAAATTAACATGTTTTATAAAGGAAATATATGTGGGCTTCCATAAGGTTATCTATATATCTATCTACCCTTCCATTAACTATCTAAATTCCCCTACTGCCTTACAGACATGGAAAAAATGAAGATTTATTAAATAAATAAATCCCAGTATTTTACAAATACCCAAAAGGATGAAATACTGTATTCACAATAACACTTACACACTTAGCTTCTTGCCAACTATGGCACTAAGGAACAACCACTGCTGGCTTCCTCCCAGATACTAAACACAGCCTGTACCCCTCCTCGAAGCCCAGAGTCCCACCTGACCTGGCCTACACTGCTCTCCCGGGCCCCTCATCACCGTCTGCAGCATGCTGTGAGCTGTGTGGCTCTGGGGCTGTCATGGCCATCTCTGCTAATGTTGGGCCCCTCGGCCTTGTGGCTTGCTCCTCCAGGTTTGGCTGAGACGCTCCAGCTGCTTCCCTGACCATGCTCTGCCAACTAGTCTCTGGCACTTTAGAAATGCCCCTGCTCTATTGTTTTCAGTGCCGTGTGTGGCACCATCTGAAACGATCCTGCTCTTATTTACTCATCCTTGTCCTGCTCACCACTCTCTCCCCACACATCATCTGAACAAAGGGTTCACGAGCAGACTTTGCCTGGTCCCTGGTCCCACCGAGTTCCTCATTTAGATAAACTCTTGGCCCTTGGTAAGATTTCAATGGTTAAAGTGTGCTGAGTAAAGGAACAACCTTCTGTGTCCCACAGTAGGTATAGTCTTCAGTGGGATTGGAGGAACTGGGAAGCTTGGCAGTGACCCCAAAGGTTGCAGAATTCGTTCAGAGGAGAATGCAATCCTGGGACTTGAATAGTTCAACTTTCCCACAGTGAAGAAACCAAAATTAGAAAGATTTAAACATGGCTGGGGCTGGTGAGATGGCTCAGTGGTCTAAAGCATCTACTTAGAACAAGCTTAACAAAGCACAGGGACTGCGGTTCAATCCCCCAGCACCACATGCCAGCCAGCCCCGGCCCCTGGTGGGCTGAGCTGGCCACACACACACACACACACACACACATAAATAAATTAAAAAAAATTAAAAAAAAAAAAAGATTTAAACATGGCTAATAGCACACTGCATGCATTCTGACTGGATTAAATAGCCATAAAGCAGGGTTGTTAAAGAAGAATTTATCATTACCTGAGGGTGTGTGGTAAGCAAGGAAGATCCAGAGACGTAAGAAACCTTTTCGTAATGGGACTGGATAATCCAGTTGGAGCTTCCAAGGGCATAGCCAGAGCTGAGAGGAGTCACCTGGACTGCACCAAAAAGCTCCTAAAAAGAGCCAAAGAACATGTGAGCTTTCATAATACATTCAGAGCAGGGAAGTTTGTAGGAAAAGCAATAGCAATATCCTTGTTAATTCAGAAACGATTACTTTTAAAGCAAACCAGAAAGTCTAAAATGAAATATACAGACTATGGAGACTATGTGAAGTATATAGAAAGCAATCCTGTGATCTTTACTTGTCACGTGAAACGCTTAGCTCATTTGCAGTCACCATACACTCAATATGCACTCACTAAAAGGCTTAGGTGACAAGGCCAGACAGAACAAGGATTCAAAAACTTTGCTTTTCCTTTTCTATTTTAGGCTAGGTATTCTATACTGAATGGCTCCTGGCACAGGTTAAGAGCAGACTCAGGAACTCTGATCTTTTAAGTCGGAGCTCACAAGTCATTCTTGCCAAGTGCTTCTCCGTTTCCTACTTCTCTTATCCCAGCATCAGATAGTATCGCCTGCTGTGTCCCCATGGTAGGATGAGCTAGACACCCTTCTCCTGGCTGCTTACCTGCTGGCCCATCAGACACTTGCTGATGGACACCAACAGAAGCCTGGGAGGATTGGAGGAAAAGGACATGATTTTTCCCTTGCACAAGAATCTCAGAGACAGAATGTCTTACAGAAGGGAACTACAGTATTCTCCAAAGTACAGCTGAAAGCGTTCATGAATCATGTACAAGATACATTAATACTCACAATCTTCTGAGAATATCCCACCAGTTGGATTTTACTAAGGGCAGAGTTCACCTCCTGCATGGTGTAACATCTTCTCCAGGTTGATACTTCCACTGCATCCTTGAGCGGAGAAGGCAGCAGCCTGTAAGCGCACCACAGCGTCAATGACTAGGTGGACACTTCTGCAAAGAACAGAGCTGCCCTTCCTAGTAATGTGTCCACTTTACGCTGGTCAAGTTTGATGGCTTGTGATTGTTTACATTATTTTAAATAAATATTTTTATTTCTGTAAGGCTAGTATTCTCATTTCACTTTAGTTATTTGAGGCTTTTTTTCTTGGTTAATCTCAATAAAGGCATGTCGATTTTGTTCATTTATTAGACTACCTTTGATTTCACTGATTTTTCTACTGCATTTTTATTCACCTTTTTTATCCAGAATATAGCTAGAATGCTTTGTTTTAAAATCCAGTCTGATAATCACTGCCATCTGATTGGACTATTTAGTCCATTCACATTTAATTGCGTTACTGATACAGTTGGATCATATCTGTTGATTTAAGGTTTTGTTTTCTGTACGTCTCATGTCTTTTTGTTTTTCTATTCTTCCTTTACCACACGCTTTTGTACAGTACTTCATGGTACGGCATTTTCATTGTTCAATGACTTTCCACTATTAACTGAGCCAGTTCCTTAACAGTTGTTCCAGAGCAATTTTATGTGCACTTTTTTTGTGTGTTAGGGATGATCAAGGCAGAGGTCCCCTGCATGCAAGACAAATGCTTTACTCCTGAGCTACACCTCAGCTGGAGCATTTTTAACATTTTGTATTCTCTTCCCTGTTAAAAAAAAATAAATGAAATAAACTTTACTAATGGGCTTGAGAAAAGGTCTGGGTTTAACATTGATTGGGCTTAGTATCAGAAAATAAGGCACATGATTTGTGACCTTTTAGACAGCGCCAGAAATTTCCTTTAGACAAACAAAACAGTCAATGGAAAAAAATTTTATCATTTGCTCTAAAAGTATGGAGTATAACCTGGAAGTGGGATGTCCAGGAGATTCCCTGTATAGCAGAAGTCAAAGTACTTCTGGTGAACTGGCTGTGTGTATTAGCTTCTTCCCTCTTCTGACATATACTCAGAACAATAGCACAGGGCTGGCTCTCCCCCATCCTCCACACTTTAATGGCCTACCACTATACCCAGGATGACATCTGAGGCTCTCCTCAGGAGGAAGCAGGACCAGATAAGAAGCTCTGAGCTCTTACAATGCCCTACAGCAGGCAAGCCTTACACCTTGCTGCTTTGAAGAAGGAGGTTTTTCTAAGAGGCACTGGGATATGATGGAAACACAGGATTTACAGTCACACAAGGCTCGTTAGCTGTAAGCCTCAATTTTCTCTTTATAAAAAGGGACAATGTTACTTTCCTCTTAAGAGTTTTTCTATGGGGACAAACATAAAATACATGAAAAGAGACACTGAGGAAAGGTTTGCCACCTACCCTGTTCCAACTCTTGCAGACATGCAGTCCCAGAGACTCATGTACTGTCCAGCAACACTGTGGGAGACCTCCACCGAGAGCAATCACCTTGATCACTCTGCAGTGATCAAGCTTGGGTGTCTGTGCACTGCTCTAGCAGGTCTCAAGAAGGAATCCAAGTGACCCTTGCTTTACTTCTCCCTCTAATTTCTCAGGATCAGGGCACTTGGCCTGGTCTCCTCAGGCTAAGACTTCATGTTTTGGGTTGGGCAAAAGCAGGATTTCTTGACCTTACACCAAGCTGGAAGGCTATTGTTGGGGTGACTGGAGAGCAGCAATGATCATGAGGAACACTTGGCACTGTCCAAAGCATGGTGAAGCTTTGCCTCCTGCTGGCTCTTCTCTTGGTGGCCCTTTCTACCTTATTGTTCCCTCTACCTGCTCGTCTATGACAACATCCTATGAAAATCAGGCAGATTAAAATCTGCAACTGTCTTTTTGCAACAGGAGTACTTGGTTATTTTAATATTTCTATTCTTGCTAGAAATTAAGCAATTTTATATTCAGCTTACAGAATAAGCATGCAATGTTCCATGCCTCAGGGAAAGCAGCAAGCACAAACAAGGGAAGTATCTACCACTTCCGTCAATAGTTTAGAATCTACTTCCAGAGAAATACTAGACTGTTTTGGGCTGGGGAACAATTTACTTAAGCAAATTAAAAAACCTGGTGAAAAATTCAGCTATATTTAAGGTTGGCTTTCTTCTCATCTTTCACTTCAGGGTAAATGGCCTAGAAATATAAACTTAGATTCTAGAGAAATTGGAGAAAGCTTTTTATACACAGAAACATCCACAGGAGATGGTTTTTGACACCAGTTGAGCAGAGCACTGTTGGGAGAATGTTCTTATAAAAGATGTCTTGTTTCTTACTTTGCTAATGCCCACTGAAACAGTCACACATATCTTTTGATTTGATTCTGTCCAGTGGTTTACAGAGTACTGTCCTGCACTGAGCACAGTATCCTACATATGCCACACTCAGCTAGCCCAGGAAAGAACTAGCAAGCCCAGTAAATGAATGACTATCACCTGAACTACACTTGCAAGTATGGGGAGAGGGTAGCTCTACCACTGAGAGGTGCTGAAAAATCATGAAGCAGCCTAACAGAGAGCAGAAAAGGAAAGCCAAGGGGCCCCTTCTCAGTGTTGGGCTTTATGGCAGGTCATGTGGTCAGTGATCCATCTCCAGTGTTCAGCGTCTTGTGTGGGGCCCTCCTTGGTTCTAATGAGGAGAACATAACAAAAAGAATGGGCTGACTTCAGTGATTGGGTGAAGAGGTGCATTTCTGGCACATTATGAAATACTCTAAGCACAGACCCATGCACCCAACAACCAGGCTACAGAGCCCAGAAGACCTCCTTCCCAGCTAAGCCTGGGAGAGAAGGGTGGTCAGGCCAGGCCTGAGTTAATTACAATGCTTGTGCTCCTGAGCAGAGGCAGTGATTTAATACTTCAAGTCTGTGGTTTTCTCAGGTATCCTCGAGGACATTTTACAAACCGTAATTGTACAGAACAGTTAGGAAACAGCTGGTTTTTTATGTGCAATTTAATGTTGACTTTTACTTCTACTTGCAACACTGAGTACTTCATGTAAACTTTTTTCCTTCTATATTTTTATATTGAGGGTAACACACCTCCCTCAAAGATTATACAAGATGAATAAGATACATAAGTGTATAACTTTATTAAGAAATACAGTCACTTTTCAGTATCTAGGGGCTATTTGTTCTAGGAACCGCCTGTGGATGCCAAAATCCAAGTCCCTTCCATAAAATGGTGCAGTATTTGTATGGACAGTGGCTCCTCAAGCCTGGCATATGAACAACTTGGGTTATCACTGGAATTTTAGTTTTGACTGGTGAATAAGTCTTGAGTTACGACCCAAATGCCGGCCACTTGTACTTCCACATGGTCTCAGACACAGATTAAACTTTTTAAAGAGTTTTGGAAGGAATACTACAATATCCTTTCCTCTACCAATGTCTAAGAACTGAGATCTGCCTATACACAGGAAAGAGACTTGGAAGGCTTCGTAGAGGAGCCCAAACCTTCAAGTGACAACAACTTGAGTTACAACCAGCCTTCAGGAACTGAGTTCATAAGTCAAGGGTCCACTGTAACCTACCCTGTCAGAGATGTGCTTTATTTTTCGTTCTTTCTTTCTTTTTTTACAAAAAAGGGTCTTACTATGTAATTTAGGCTAGCCTCAAACTCCCGGGCTAAAGCAATTCTGCTTAAACCTCATGAGTATCTGGGACTATAATCTTGTAGCAGTGCACCTGGTGCTCCCCATACACTTTAAATCATCTCTGCATTACTCCTAATACCTAACATGAGGTAAATATGAGATAAATAATTATACTATGTTGTATAGAGACTGCTGTCCCAAAAAAGTCTGTCCATATTTAGTACAGAACAATTTTTTTCTAAATATTTTTCATCAACAGTTGGTTGAATCCAGAGTTCAATTCAGATACATAGGCCAGCTGAATATAAATGTACATGTCTGGAGTATATGTATGTATCACATACGTACACATACATGTACTCTCTGAGTATTAATCCCCTTTCAACACTTGTGCCTATATTCTTCGGAGATCTTACTATTCTGACATTTTATATGTCTATTCCTTGTCATTTCCCTGTTTGGAAATAACATTGGTTCCCTTTTAAAAAGAGTTTGAGGCCTATGTTTCACAAATTATTCAGGTAATTTTTTTTATTAGCTGATATGAGGGACACTAAAACATATTATTGGCTTTTTCAAAAGAACAACATTGTTATTCTTTTGTCTGATGCTAAGATTTAATGTCCAACTCTTTTCTCACTTTCCTGGTGTGCACTGGCTGCTTTTAACAAAGCCTTTCAATCAGGCCGTTGCCATCTTTGTTCAGAACAGCCCTTCTCACCTCATTCAAATGTTCCCCAAATTGCCAAACCCAGCTAGTTTTGCCCCTTAGAATCTTTGCCAACAACTTCCATGAGTATAGGAACAGTGTCTTGCGCTTCTAGGGGGCATTTTTCTACAGCTCATCTTAATGCCAGGCCCTTTGTGGATGTTCAACAAATAAATGTACTCTGAATATAAAAATTCCATATTTATATTTAGGGTTCTCTTGTTAGCATCCCTTTTTACTCTTTCTAGATGGTCATCTTATCATTACCACTTTCTATCTCTAAACATCTTGTCTAGCTTTGCTTTTTCTAAAACTGTCCTTATGCTTGAGGTCATAATAACAGGCATTTACAGAGCCATTTACAGCCATTAGGATTATTGGCTGATTTAGGATAAGTAGGATAAGAAAACCCAGAGGGAACTAGTGTTTTCTGGCTTTCTAATTTATCAAAGTCAAGTTCTCATAGTCTAAATTTTTCATAAGTACTTTCTACAAGACTTGATTGTTTTATTTTGTTCTTATCATACTTGAATGCCTAATAAAGGTCTGTCCCAGTGCTCTGACATCAAAGCCCTGCTGCCTCTTCCCACATCCATACAGGCAGCAGGAGATCAGTTGTCTTTTAAGGCTGCAGGGACCACTGCAAAGCTGATAAGTAAAATACTGACTGGACTCTCAGCACTGAATGAAAGAACAAAA